CCCTTTCTCTTAGATAAATTAAAATTGTTATTTTGAACAATTTTTTTTAAATTTATTGTTTAATAAAAGCATTTTTAAGACTTTTCTTAATCTTTTATTGCTTTTAAGTTTATCTTTTTTTAGTTTTAAATTGAATTTAAATATTTTAAAAATTATCAACGAATAAAAATAAACCCGTATCACAATAAAAATTATTTATTATAAATTTAAATAATAATTTATATACGATAAAATATTTATTTATTTCAAATTTTAATTATAATTTAATTTATATATTAAATTTTTTTATTTATTATAAATTTAAGTTATATAAACCAAACATTTATTCTACATAATAAAATACTAGTTTTTCTTTCTTTCTTCTTACGTTTAAATCTCCTAAAATCAGGGGAAGACGAAATATAGGAGGGAGAGATTTTTGACCTTTCATTTATTCTTTCTTTTGCTCAAAATTTCAAAACCAAATGAGATGAAGAAAATTTCTCCATTGTCGGTCCAACCAAACCCTCTGAAAAATTAGTTAAATATTAGGCGAATTAGATTGATGAAATAAAATCAAAACTGATATTTGAAATCTCAACTTAACGTTTTAATGCTTGATTTTTGTCCATTATATACATTATGAGTGATTTTTTGGACTAGTGGAAGCCTCGTACGATTTTTTTTACATTGGACAGGTTTGCACAATTTGACAATTTCAAGTTGTACGACGACGTATAGTACTAGTCTAACGTGCCTGTCTCATTAATTGTTCATCGATGAAACCAACTCCTTTGCTCATTTTTCTTAGGCATGACCCTTAAAATTCTTCAAATTTCTTTCACTACAGCCAATTGTTCTATGGGTGTCAATTTTTCATGCAATCGTTCTAATTAAAAACATATAAAAGAAAAAGAAACGAATTATTTGCAATTTTTGTTGGCTATGCTTTATGGGTTTACAAATTTTGTTATTTAAATTTTCAAATTATACATTTTATTGCTTAATTTTTAAAAATTTATATTTATCACTTTGCTAGTTGATCATATAATATCTTTAATTAATGATTAATATAATAAGTTGATTATTGATGTGACATATTACGTTATATCATTATTTATTTCTATGTCATATTAGAATAAATTACATTAATGATCAATATCTCGTACCAACAATTAATTATTATGTAATGTCAGTAATTAACATATTATATTAATAATTAAATAATATTTTTGGACTGTCAAGTGATAGATGATAAAATGTATAAGATTAAAAAAAAATCAGTGGTTAAATATACAATATCAAAAGTTGTGGAAAAAAATTACAAAAATATAAAACATAAATGATAAAAGTGTAATTAAAAAAAATCATTGATTAACTTTTAGGCCAATTGAGACCAAGTCGACCCACAATTTGCTTGGTGCATTTAATAGCTAGAGGCCTTGATAGAGTGTGGCCATTGGAAAACTAGGTAAAAGAGAAGATAATTAATGATGAGTGACGATGGATAAAAACAAAATGAAATGTATCTATTGACAAAAAGATACTATTACACATTATATTATGAGCTTAAGTTCTCAAGATAACAAAAGTGACAAAAAATGCTTATTCAACAAATTACTATAAATACTATAACTAATCTTCACATGGATAAATATGGCAATAAAGGCTAAATAGGACACACGCCTCCTTCATCACTAACCCAACCTCCATGGGTTAATTATACAAAAACACCACTTGAACTTTTCTTAGTCATGAATCATTGCGCAGCATCAAAATAATGCACTTTTAGCATTATAAAATCGTTTTATATCTCCACTAGCTAGAAACATTATTTAATGTGACCATGATAATTCTAGCTTAATTGTGCGGGGGCATAGTCTTTTCTGGACATTCTAGTCATCGTCAAAATGTTATAAAAGAATCTCCAGAAAAAGGGAATTGGAATATAGCTAATGCCAAAGACACCTCTGTATAATGAAAATAGAGGCATTGGTTCAAACTTCAAATTTTATGCAATGATTAAGGTATCTGAGAGATAAAAAAAACAAAAAGCTTTAGAGACTGTGTTTGGGCTCCCCCGGCCCAAAAAGAAGCAACTATTTGAGTGTTTGAAGTTGTAAAAGTAAAAAATGCACTCAAAAAAGTATCTCTTATGGTGAGATAGGTAATGCATCTATGTTATTCAATTAGAATTTACTGTTTTGATAGTAGTAATAAAAGAATGGACCAAAAAGCTAGGCAAGAGCATGATCAACTTAGAAAGAAGAACTTCAGCATGTATAGTGATATCAAATTTAAGTTTTGTATATTTAATTATATTAAATATTTAGAAAGAGAGAATTATAAAGTGATATGATAGTTTGGAGAAGAAACATAAAATTAGAGTGATAAAAAAGCAACGAGTTTGAATTCTTCGATTAACATAACAAAAATAATTACTAATATTTGTTTGTAAGAAAATATTTAAAATTAATCTTACTCAACTCGAATAAAATTCCCTTAAATGAAAAATACCTATTGTATAAACTAAAAAAAAAAAATTAAAGGAAAGATTAAAATTAAATAAATTGCAACAAAAATTAGACTCAAATTCATTATACAAAGTTCCACAATTATTTGTTAAGAAAACTTAGATCAATGACTCTTTGAATCTTCAACAAGTAATTTTTGCGTTATTTTAGACATTTGTCTAGAAATCAAGCATGTGCTTAATGAAAACTAAATTCACACTACATAATTTTTAAATTGCACTTAAATTAATTATCTATATATATAGATATTTATAATTTTAATATATATTTCTTTTAGTTTTTTTAATATTTACCAAAAAGATTAAGATAAAAAAGAAGTTTATACAAGTCACATGATACTTATTGTGTGTTTCGACAACTTTATCGCATATTTTATTAAGAAAAATCGTTATCATAATTTCCACCTAGAATCGTTATCTAAACCTTGCAAGGATAATTAAAAGGAAAAGTAATAGGCAAAGAAGACATGAGATTTGACGAGTAGTGTTGAAAGTTTTGGCGTTTATACCATGGAATTCCAAAAGGACAAACATTGTGCAATAAAATCTTAATCTACCCATTTAGGTACAGTGGCATTCCATGTTGTGAAGGGAATTATAATTTGAGTGGAATCAAGCCTAACCCCAGAGAAGCATGCACAATTGAAGTGCATATTACTTCATCAATATCCTATCAAACACACACAATAAGTTCCTAATATAAAGTTATGAGAAAGTGATGCCTTCACCTCACATGTGCTCCAATTGCTTGTGGAGTAGCTCTTAGTGGGACCAAAGGTCAACCTTTTCAAGATTGAATGATGGGAAGTGAGAAGGAAAAACCCACAATATATATTGGATGGGGACATAGAATTTGGATGGAAAGCTTAAGCAACTATCTTACCCAACCCCATGCCACATATCAGTCTGTGTCCTTCAGATTAGTAGGGCCTCTTGTATAAACCGGTTAGATATTTGGTAGGGCCCCTTTTTCCAGCCCCAAGTGTTGATGTGCTTTATATTTTTCCCCACCTTAAATAGAAACTAATATTTTAATATATATATATATATATAGAGAGAAGAGAGATCTGTTTATTTCAAGAGTAAGTCTACTTAGACTTACTTCGTTTAATAACTCATGTTCAACATCAAATTTCAACGATACAACTGTTAAATTTAAAGTTCTTATTACATAGATCAAATTTGCACATTTTAAAAAATTTGAAAACTACTTGATATTTCGTTTCATTAATTCAAATTAATGTATAAAATAATTTTATGATTATCTGTCAATTTGAATTAATGAAACAAAATATTAAATGATTTTTAAATTTTTTAAAAATTTGTAGATTTAATTTATGTATTCAAAACTTTAAATTTAACGGTTGGATCGTTGAAATTTAATATAGAACATGAGTTATTAAACAAAGTAAGTTTAGGTAAACTTACTCCTAGAGTAAACGGATCCCTCTTTATATATATATATTTTACAAACTAAATATCAAAAACTTACTAAACCATAATATTATAAAAATTAATTATGTTAAATTGCATTTTTTTTATTCTTATTGATCTATAATTTTGATTATTAAATTTAAAATTACTTAATAACTTGTCCCTACTTAAAAACATAACATATAAAAACAAAAACAAAAAAACACATACCAAAAAATATTTATTTTTGTATATTATAATAAGTCATTATTACTTATTTTATTAATAAATTCTATTTACATAATTTTTTTTAGTATTTTTATTTTCGAATGTCATATTTAGAATATTACATTATTTAAGTTTAAATAAACATTAAAATTTAATGATTAATAAATATGAATTTAATAAAAAAAATCAAAATTTCATATTTTTAAAATTAAAAAGATTAAATATCGTAATTTTAAAATAGATAGATCAAAGTTATATATTAATAAAAACAAAGAAACTAATAGTACAATTTAGTTAATTAATTAATGTTATTAAAAGTTAATTGTTTGGTGGGCTAGCTGTTAATGACTGACTTCAACCCCATATAACAGGCGAGTTAAAAGAATTGAGTCAAATACTCTAACCTTTAAATAGACCAAAAATTTAGCTAGTTCTAACTCACTTGACCTGCAGAGATCAAACAAATTATCTTCAAAACCAAATTCATATACCCCTAAAATCATGCAACTCACTTTATACACACACAAACAATGAATTGATAATATGATTTCAGTAAAGTTTAGAAGTTAAATCTCATTCTCGTAACCTTCTTTTCCTATTGTAAAATATCATAAAATATGCAGAGCATGGTATGGTACACAATTTGGAACAACCTTAACTAGATTGGGGTAGTCAGAACTCAGAACTCAGAACTCAGAACTCAGAAGATTTACTGAAAGTCCACGTGGCGAAAAAAGATTGGCTGAAAGCGTGACGCGTAGTAAAGGTCGGGAGTATGATGTACAACTACGACTACACCTACAAGGATTTCAGCGCCCACCTACTAAACCCATGAAGGAACTTCCCTAGCCATCACAATCACAATCACAAGCAAACAAAACAAAACTACCAAAGTTTTCCTAAGAAAAATTCTACAAAACTTTATTCTCTCCACTTCTGTCTAACACTTGAAAAGGGTGTGATCAACAACAACAGCAAAGAAAGACCCTTTTGGGTATTAGAGAGAGACAATGAAAATGATCCTATAAGTGAAAGGTGAAAGCATGCTTTGTCGGCCATTAAAACTTCACCCCTAAAAAAGGTTGATCCTTTGCACTCATTCTTTCATTCCCTTATGCCAAACCCCACAAACAGAGAAAAGCCACAAATATTGCCACCCCAGGAGGATGATGGATATTCATTTTCTGATTCATTGAACCTTGAGTCTTGCTTCTTTCTCTCAATCCCTGCTAAAAAGGGGTTTGGATTTTTCTCCTCAAAATCTTGGCTTTTGCTGTTTCAGATCGAAGATCCCCACTTTTCATTCCAAAAGGCAACGTGGGTATATTCTATTTTTGGCTAGTTTCATTAACTTCATGGTTCTTCTCAATTTTCATTCACAAGGAGTTGTTGATCCCAAGTGGTGGACCTGCTCCGTTTGTTATTTTCTCCTTTTTGATAAGTGATGGTGGTCTTTGAATGAAAGGTGTGTTTTTTCTTACCCTGTTATTGTTTTTAACTATTTTGAATCGTGGCTTTCTGTGTGTGTGTCTTTACACTGATTCATTAGATTCTGGGAATGGTGTTTGGTCTTGTTGAATATGACTTCAAGTTCATTGGGCCGACTCCAAGTTTGAATTTTGAGCTTCTGTTCATTGGGTCTACTCCAAGAAAATTTAGACTGTTTCATTTCTCAGTAGAATGACCGTTTTTAAGTAGTGTTCGATCAATTACATAATCAATTCTCGATTGATTGGTAATAGATTATCAACAATTTGTTTTTTTTGTCTAAGTTGTGAAAGTGACTGATGTCTGATTGATGGATTGCTTGTGCAGGTCTTGAATATTAGGATGGCTGGGGATATCAAGGAGGGAAGAATTTTGGCAAAAGCGTATTATGTTATTTTGCTGCTATTGGCTTTACTTTTTTGTAGCACTGAGGGGTTGAACACTGAGGGGCAAATCCTCCTAGAGCTTAAGAAGGGACTTCATGACAAATCTAATGTTTTGGGAAATTGGAGGTCTAATGATGAAACTCCATGTGGATGGATAGGTGTAAATTGCGCTCATGATAGTAATAACAATTCTGTGGTTGTGTCTCTTAATTTGAGTTCAATGAATCTTTCTGGAACTCTAGACGCTGCTAGCATTGGGAGTCTGATCCATCTAACTAATCTTGATCTTTCTTTCAATGAGCTGACTGGAAATATCCCCAAGGAGATTGGTGAGTGCTTGAATTTGAAATATCTTTATTTGAACAACAATCAGTTTGAGGGGCCAATTCCTGCT